AAGGAAAAAAAAATAAGCTCACCATGTTTAAAAGCATAATCTTAAAATACTTTATCCAGTTAAGCACTTTTGTTTCTAACACAAAGTGCTGACTCTTGACAGATTCTCTGGCATACTGAAGGTCACCACTGCTGAACCTATCTGATCAGCCAAGAACAAGCTTATCACCAGGTACAGGTATCATTACATCACAAGGTGTAAAGGTTGTTCTGGCAGCTCAGTCATCCACCAGCAAACAGGTGTCTAAGAAACTGAGATTTCCCAGCTACCAAAACCCAGACAAAGAAATAAGCAACAGTTGGCCGGGCGGGGTGGCTCACGCCTGTAATCCCAGCACTCTGGGAGGCCGAGGCGGGTGTATCACAAGGTCAGGAGTTCGAGATCAGCCTGGCCAATATGGTGAAACCCTATCTCTACTAAAAATACAAAAATTAGCCACGCATGGTAGTGCGCGCCTGTAGTCCCAGCTACTTGGGAGGCTGAGGCAGAATTGCCTGAACCTGGGAAGCGGAGGTTGCAGTGAGCCAAGAGCATGCCACTACACTCCAGCCTGGGTGACAGAATGAGGCTCCATCTCAAAAAAAGAAAAAAGAAATAAGCAACAGCATGACATACACCAAGGCAGTTCAGAGAAAGGCAACATGAGGGAAAGCAGGGTAGAAATAGGAGAGGACAGTTCAGAAAAGTGTCCTGAGGAACTCCTCCCACTGGGTAAGCCAAGAGAAAGTTACCAGACCCAGGGCTCTCAGAAGCACATAAGCCATGCCTTGATGCTGCTCACCTGCATTTCCCATAATATGATTACCTGGCAAAATCTATATACTTAAAAATACATTGCCTTCTCACCCCTTCCTACCCTTATCTTTTTTTTTTTTTTTTTTTTTGAGATGGAGTCTCACTCTGTCTCCAGGCTGAAATGCACTGGTGCAATCTTGGCTCATTGCAACCTCTGCCTCCCGGGTTCAAGCGATTCTCCTGCCTCAGCCTCCGGAGTAGCTGGGACTAACTACAGGAACGCACCACCACGCCCAGCTAATTTTTGTATTTTTAGTAGAGATGGGGTTTCACCATGTTGGCCAGGATAGTCTCGATCTCCTGGCCTCGTGATCCACCCACCTGGGCCTCCCAAAGTGCTGGGATTACAGGCGTGAGCCACCACGCCCGGCCTTACCCTTAACCCTTATCTTTTAAAAAACCATCCACAATTTAGGGCACAGCCTTATCCTCCGTTACAAAACATGTTTAGAGTCAGACTACAACAAAGAGACATAGGGTCTGCACAGCATTATTTTAATGCAAGAAAACAAAACTGCCAACTATAAGGATCTGAAAAATGTGACCACTTCAGGCTTATTTTGGAGCTGAACCACTCCCCTTCCCTAATTATCCCTCAAAGGAAATGTATGATGCACTGTGGGCAAAGAGGGAAACATGTTTAATTACAACATGTGCACTTGGTGGATGAAGAATTTGAACATTCTTGAACTCTGGCCACATTTCAGAAGACTTTCCACTTGTAATTTAATTTCACTGAAAAGTTTAAGGATCAGTTGCATTTCAACCAGGGCTCTATCAAAAAAAGACACAAAGAATACCCGACAACCATAGGCAACCAAAGCAAAAATGAACAAATGAGATCACATCAAGTTAAAAAGCTTCTGCACAGCAAAGGAAACTATCAACAAAATGAAGAGATAACCCACTGAATGGCAGAAAATATTTACAAACTGTCTATCTGACAGGGGATTAATAACAAGAATATGTAAGAAGCTCAAACAACTCAATAGGAAAAAATCTAATAATCCACTTAAAAATGGACAAAAGATCTGAATACACATTTCTCAAAAGAAGATATACAAATGGCCAAAAAAGGTATATGAAAATGTGCTTAACATCATTGATCACCAGAGAAACGCAAATCAAAATTACAGTGAGTGCTCACTTCGGCATCACATATACTAAAATTGGAAGGACACAGAGAAGATTAGCATGGCCCCTGTGCAATGATGACATGCAAATTCATGAAGCGCTTCATATTTTTAACAAATCTTTAAATGCTAAAAAAAAAAATTATGAGATATCATTTTATCCCAGTTAAAATGGCTTATATCCAAAAGATAAGCAATAACGAACGCTGGTAAGGATGTGGAGAGAAGGGAACCCCCATACACTGTTGGTAGGAACGTAAATCAATACAACCACTGTGGAGAACAGTACGGAGGTTCCTCAAAAACTAAAAATACAGCTAGCATATGATCCGGCAAGCCCACTGCTAGGTATAACACCCAAAAGAAAGGAAATCAGGGCCAGGCGTGGTGGCTTACGCCTACAATCCCAGCACTTTGGGAGGCTGAGGCAGAAGGATTGCTTGAGCCCAGGAGTTTGAGAGCAGCCTGGGCAAGACAGCAAGACATCACCTCTACTAAAAATTTTAAAATTAGCCAGGTGCTCTGGCATGCACCTGTAGTCCCAGCTACCTGGGAAAATCGCTTGAGTATAGGAGGTGGAGGCTACAGTGAGCTGTGACCATGCCACTGTACTTCAACCTAAGCAACAAAGCAAGATCCCATCTCTAAAAAAGGAAGGAAGAAACAAAGAAAGGAAATCAGTATATGGAAGAGAAATCTGCACTCCCATGTTTATTACAACACTATTCACCATAGCCAAGATTTGGAAGTAACCAAAGTGTCCATCATCAACAAATGAATAGATGAAGAAAATGTGGTACATATACACAAGGGAGTACTATTCAGCCATAAAAAAGAATAAGATCTTGTCATTTGCAACAATGAATAGAAATGAAGGTCATTATGTTAAATGAACTGCCTCAGGCAGAGAAAGACAAACTTTGCATGTCCTCACTTATTTGTGGGAGCTAAAAATTAAAACAATTGAACTCATGGAGATAGCAGAACAATGGTTACCAAATGCTAGGAAGGGGAAAGTGGGGATGTTTAATGGGTACAAAAAAAACAGAATAAGATCTAGTAAGTGACAGCACAACAGGGTGACTACAGTCAACAATAATTTATTTTATATTTTATAATAACTTAAAGAGTATAATTGGATAGTGTGTAACACAAAGGAAGGATAAATGCTTGCAGTGATGGATGCTCCATTCATGCATTATATGCCTGTATCCAAAGATTTCTTTTCTTTTTTTTTTTTGAGATGGAGTCTTACTCTGTCGCCCAAGCTGTAGTGCAGTGGTGTGATCTCAGCTCACTGCAGCCTCCGCCTCCTGCGTTCAAGCGATTCTCCTGCCTCAGCCTCCCAAGTAACTGGGATTACAGGTGTGCACCACCACGTCTGGCTAATTTCGGGGTTTCACCATGTTGGCCAGGCTGGTCTCGAACTTCTGACCTCAGGTGATCCACACACCTCAGCCACCCAAAGTGCTAGGATTACAGGTGTCAGCCACCAAGCCCAGCCCAAATATTTCATGTATTCCATTAAATATACACACCTACTATACCCACAAAATTTTTTTTTAATTTTAAATGTTTTAAAAAGACACAGAGAGAAACTGACCATATTATTTACATGTGATACTACAAGGGAAGCCTGCTGAAACTGTAAGATGACCCTGACTCCACGTCAAGTGCTAACAGAGGAAATGGTTTGTATTTTACAACTAGGACTAAAAATAAGAGCAATTTTAAGAGCACTCTCCCCTGGAGAAAACACACATATCTTGAATTTAAAGATACATATGCAAATGCCTCAGGCCCCAGGTGGTCTTACAGAAGCAGTCCCTGATCAGCTCTCTCATCCACAGCCCACGTGCTTCTGCATTACAGAGGTGGGAGGACATCTGCAACAAATTTGGCGGTGATTCTGCACTTCTGCTGGAGAGAAGAGCAGAAAAAAACCTTCACAGATCCAAAATGAGAAGGCATCTCATTAGGCATTTGGATTAAGAACTATTACTCAAGATGCCCTGAGCAAGGCCTACAAGTTCTGATCTCTCTAACCTCCTCTCCTAGGACTGTCCCCCTTGTCCATGGGTCTCTGCCATGCTGGCTTCCTTGACGCTCCGCCAACCCTTCAGACACACTCCCACCTCACAACCTTCCCGGGGGCTGTTCTCTCTACCTGGATGACTCTTCTCTCAGACCCCTCACATCTTCAAGTCTCGGCTCAAATGCCACCTTTGCGCGGAGGAAAAAGATTTCTTTCCTTTACCACGATATTTATCGCCTCCTACTACACAGTATAATTTACTTAAACATCTATAATTCACCCTGTTTCTCCTCTCCCCCTCAAATAAGTTCCAGGAGAGCAGAGATCTCTGTCTTGTTCACTGATGTCTACCACAAGCACTTAGTGCCTGACACATAGTAGGAGCTCAAGTAGTATTATCTGAATGAATGAACAAACTTCTTGACCTGAAGATTCAGAACAGTAAGAAGTGGGTAGAAAGGATGATGGTGAGGGGATGAGGAGAAAGAAGCGACAGCGGAGAATTCCTAAGGGACCCCCGTTTCTCCCCGCAGAGCTGACGGGAGGCGGACGTAGGTGCAAGGCATCCCGCCAGCGGCACCCGAGGCACTCAGAGGTCGGCAGCGGAGGCCGGCGGGCTCCCGGGCTCACTGAGAAAGTCCAGAGGCAGGACGGACCCACGCGGACTCCGAGCAGGCCCCGTTAGGGGCTCCGACCCCCGGCCCTACCCCTCCCAGCAGTGCCCACAACCCCAGGTCCTGGGCCAGAATCCCCAGGGGCGTTCTGGGCCGCAATCTCTTCTCGGCTCGGGCCCCTCCACCAGCCTCCAGTGGCCGGGCCCTGCGCTCGGGCACCTGCCTGCCTGCGCCAGGGTCCCCACTCTGGCCCGCGTGGAGGCCCCAGCGCGCCCCTGCGGCCTCAGCCCGCCTGGCTGCCCCATCGCCCGGCACAAGGCCAGGAAGCGCTCCGCGGCACTCCCCGCTGCAGGGAAGGGGCTCCCGGCGCCCCTCTCCCGGGCCGCCCCTGCCCCACGCCCCGCCTGCGCGGCGCCCCCTCACCTCAGGGCGTACGTACGACACGAAGGAGGGCTTGGGGGCCTTGGTGCCGCCGCCACCGCCGACTACTCCTTTCCCCAGCATACCGCCGCCCTGGGAAGCAGCGCCGCGCGGACGCAGAGGTGGCGGCTCGGGCTCCAGCTGGGGCAGCAGCGGCGGCCACCAGCACTAGCGGCTGGGGCTCCGCCCATCCCCAGGGCCGCGACCGCCGCGGTGCCGCCCGCATCCGGCTCCGCCGCTGACACCGCTCGCCCCGCCCAGGCCCGTGGGCCCCGCCCACCCCGCGCTCTGGCCCACAGAGCAAGGAGACCGCTACTGGAGGCCACGCCCACCCTCCCGCAGGAGGGTCTGACCCGCCGAGATTCACCACCTTCCTGCGGCAAAGCCCGCCCTCATGCTTTCTCTGACTGGCCAGAGGCGTTGCCGGCCGAACCCCCGCGCCCAACCCCTTCTTGAGTGAGTTTGGAGAGATGTTTCCTCTAACCAATCCAGAGAGGTTTATCTCCGGACTTTCCGGCGATTGGATGGCGAGGATATAACCGTCGTCCAATGATCGTGCAGTCACCAAGTTGTCGTTAGCAGTGGTTCACGGCAGTCGTTTTCTGCCTTTTGCTTGTGTCTTTGGAATAAAACGTCAAAAAATGGGATGTGTGGAATCTTGCTATAGGAGTTCCCAACTTACATCGATGACGTTCAAGGTTTTTTATTTTATTTTATTATTTACTTTTGAGACGGAGTTTTGCTCTTGTCGCCTAGGCTGGAGTGCAATGGCGCGATCTCGGCTCATTGCAACCTCCGCCTCCCAGGTTCAAGTGATTCTCTTGCCTCAGCCTCCCGGGTAGCTGGGATTACAGGCTCCCGCCACTACATCCAGCTAATTTTTTTCTTTCTTTGGTCGTTCTGTCGCCCAGGTTGGAGTGCAATGACGTAGTATAGGCTCGCTGCAACCTCCGCCTCCCGGGTTCAAGCGATTCTCCTGCCTCAGCCTCCCGAGTAGCTGGGATTATAGGCGCCTATACTCACACCCGGCTAATTTTTGTATTTTTAGTAGAGACGGGGTTTCACCATGTTTGCCAGGCTGGTCTCAAACCCCTAACCTCGTGATCCGCCCGCCTCGGCCTCCCGAAGTGTTAATACTAGAGGCGTGAGCCACCGCGCCTGGCCGCTAATTTTTGTATTTTTAATAGAGACGGGCGTTTCACCATGTTGGCCAGGCTGGTCTCAAACTCCTGACTTCAGATGATCCACCCGCTTCGGCCTCCCGAAGGGCTGAAATTACAGGCGTGAGCCACCGCGCCCGACCTCAAGGTTTATTATTTTAAATGTAAACAAAAATGAGACAAATGGTGACTCACGCTTCTAATCCCAGCACTTTGGGAGGCCGAGGCGGGTGGATTTCTTGATCTTAAAAAACCCTCATTTTTTAGTCAAGATTGTAAAGAAAATTTATTTCAATTCTACATTTGGTGCCAAGCATTGTTAGTTGCAGATAAATAAGATAGAATCCAGCTCTTAAGAAATTCAATCTAGTGGAAAAAACCTGATAAAAATTTGCAGTTAATTTTTTAGGTGTCAGGCACTGTGCTAAGTACTCTCATTGGTGACCTTGATTTTTACCCTCTTAATCTCCACATGCTCCCCCTTCCCAAACACACTTCAAATAAATATAAAATCTTAGTGAAAACAAATGTGCCTTCTTTTGCAAACATAGTTTCAACACAAGTCCTGCAGCTCCCTTTCCAGCTAGATTGCCACCTGTAAGCCTATTTGGTATAGCTGTGCTGCAGCCGCCACTGAGTTTCCTTATCCCTGTTTCCAGGTGACAAAACAGAGATGCAAGTAATTTGCCCAGGTCTCACAACTAGTCACTGAGAGACCTGGGATTTCAACCCAGGTTTGTCTCATTCGAAATCCCAAATTCTTAACATTATAATTACCCAAATTAGAAAGGAGCACAATGAAAGTGTGGTCAATTCTATTTGGGAAGACCAAGTTGAAGCCATCCTTACAAAGTTGAGAATTCTGCACAGAAATAGAATTGTAAGTAAGCGTTAGTCAGGCTGCGGTTTGGCCTGCTTCTTCATATTAATAACTCGACTTCAGGTAACACTAGGTACTGATCATTTGCATGCCTATTGTTTCAATAGGTAGGATTTCTGGCTCTGGAATCATAAGAGTTTTGTTTAAGAATTGCTTAGGCAGATCCTAAGTTCCAGCAGAACAGCCAACATCAACCACTTTAAAGACCGCCCCCACCCCAACACACACACACACACACACACACACGAACCGAAGCAGTGTGAGAATACAATTTCTTCATCTCTCTGTCTCATGACTTCGCCCTGCACTTTTCAACCAATCAATGATCTCCACACTTTGGTGCACTTCAACACCCTTAAATACCCTAGCCCCAGGCAGGGTGCAGTAGCTTACACCTGTCATCTCAGCACTTTCAAAGGCCAAAGTAGGAGGCTCACTTGCGTTCAGGAGTTCAAGACCACAAGACAACATAGTGAGGCCCTGTCTCTACGAAACATTAAAAAATTAGTCGGGCATGGTGGTGCAAGCCTGTAGTCCAAGGTACTCAGGAGGTTGAGGTGGAAAGATTGCTTGAGCCCAGGAATTAGAGGCTACAGTGAGCTGATATGTCACTGCACTCCAGCCTAGGTGACAAAGCAATATCCTGTCTCAAAACAAACAAACAAACAAACAAACAAACAAAAATCGTAGCCCCAAACTCCTTGACTCCTTAGAGAGATGAATTTGAGGTTTCCTCCTGTCTCCTCATCCAGCAACCCTACAATTAAACCTCTTTCACTGCTGTAACCTGGTGTCTTGGTGTATTGACTTGTCCAGTGCATTGGGCAACAAACCTATTATGGTTACAAAGTAAGGCTTCATAAAAAAAGATATTCCTCATGGGAGTGTTAAAGAATACATTTCATTGTCAAGACTAATATCACTATATTTTGCAGCAGTCTTCACTTTTCTAAGTAGAATGGCAGGGCAGATTTTTAGACACTGAGCAAATGTTTCCTTTCTCACTTTTCAAAGTATTTTGAATTTCCATGACCTTTCACCATAGTTGTTAGTAAATGTGACTGTGTCCAAGGCTGGCTTCTTTGGACATGAAACTAGTGCAGTCACACTGAATCTCACACTTAAGAAGGCTCAGAGGCCGAGTGCAGTGGGATCACACCTGCAATCCCAGCACTTTCAGAATTCAAGGCAGGCAGATCACTTGAGTCCAGGAGTTTGAAGCCAGACTGGGCACCATAGGGAGACTCGGTCTCTACAAAAAGTACAAAGAATTAGCCTGGCATGGTGGTATGCACCTGTAGTCCCAGTCTCAGCTACTTGGGTGGCTGAGGTGGGAGGATCACTTGAGCTCTGGAGGCAGCAGTGAGCCATGATTGCGCCACTCACTCCAGCCTGGGTGACAGAGCAAGACCCTGTCTCAAAAAAAAAAGGAAGGGGGGGGGGCTTGGAGTTTAATCCTTTATAGTTTTGGCTTGAGCTTCTTTTTTTTTTTTTTCCTGGGGGGTGGGGGACAGAGTCTCACTCTGTTGCCCAGGCTAGAGTGCAGTGGCGTGGTCTCAGCTCACTGCAACCTCTGCCGCCCGGGTTCAAGTGATTCTCCTGCCTGAGCTTCCTGAGTAGCTGGGATTACAGGCGCCTGCCACCATGCCCAGCTAATTTTTGTATTTTTAGTAGAGACAGGGTTGCACCATCTCAGCCAGGCTGGTCTTGAACCCCTGACCTCATGATCCACTCACCTTGGCCTCCCAAAGCGCTGAGATTTCAGGCGTGAGCCACCGTGACTGGCCGGCCTTGAGCTTCTTAGTAATTTTATTTTTGAGTGTGTGTTTTAAGTGAAGATTAATGATTGATGAGCAATGGAGCACACACAACGGGTCTTGGCGCCTCAGCTCATGCACAGCCCCACCTCCCCGCCCCTCCTCCCTCCTCTTGGGTGCCTGCTACCCCATTGCACTGTGGCTCTCCCTAGCCAACTCCACAACTGCTGCCCACTTCTACCCAGGGCAGCAACCAGGTCTTATTGCCCAGGAGTGTGGGCGGGTGGAGTCTCCTGTCCCGCCGTCGCCATCCATCCTCCCAGTGGGTGCCTGGGTACTGTCTCGCAGAGGATCAGGGTGAGGCATAGCTCCCCGACCCTCTCTGGTGTCTCCGGGTTAATGTGGCTGCTATTCCTGCCCTAGGTTGGCGGTGCCTCAGTGACTGGCAGGGCCTTCCGCCCACCCCCATCCAGGTACCAAATATGGCCTGGGTAGCAGAAGCAACCATCCCTTAGGGGTCACCCATCCAGTACGAGAAGGAGAGTTGACTTCCCCACCCCCTGGCCAGAGCCCCACATTCTCATTTTGTGCTTGGCCCTGAAAATGATGCAGCCAGCGCAGCCTGTTCTCTGTCTTATCTCTATGTCCTTGGGTAAAGTACTTCCTCTCTCTGTGCCTCTATTTCCTCACCTTAAAATGAGGGTGACAACAACAATAATAACTACTTCACGGTGGTTAGGGGACTGTATTAGTCAGGTTCTCTAGAGGGACAGAACTAATGCAATATATATAAATATATACATATATATAAAGAGCAGTTTATTAAGTATTAACTCACGATCGCAAGGTCCCACAATAGGCCATCTGCAAGCTGAGGAGCAAGGAGAGCCAGTCCAAGCTCCAAAACTGAAGAACCTGGAATCCGATGTTTGAGGACAGGAAGCATCCAGCACGGGAGAAGGATGTACGCTGGGAAGCTAGGCCAGTCTCTCTTTTCACATTTTCCCGCCTGCTTATATTCTAGCTGCGCTGGCAGCTAAATAGATTTCGCCCATCCAGATTAAGGGTGGGTCTGCCGTTCCCAGTCCACTGACTCAAATGTTATCTCCTTTGGCAACACCCTCACAAACACACCCAGGATCAATACTTTGTATCCTTCAGTCCAATCAAGTTGACACTCAGTATTAACCACCACAGGGACTGTTTGGAAGATTAAACAAGTTGAGTCAGGTGATGTCTGGTATACAGCAAGAACTAAATAGGTGATGGCTATCCTCTGTACAATCTCACCAAGTAGAACGTAACTTACTCAGTTTCAGGGATTATAGAAGGAAAAGCAAAGTGACTCCTCCCTGCTAATTAACTATGGGACTTTGTTAAAGAAAGATGTTTGTTTGTCTTTGTTTTTAACTTCTGGCCCAAACATTGGACTAGATTTCTAATTTCATGGTTTTGTTTGCTTTTGTTTTTTTGTTGT